GTTATAATGCTTAGACTCCAGAGTCAGAATTCGTCTTTAATTTGGGGTACGAAACTGTGAGTTTAGTGGTTCAATATGAGGTGGTGGAGGAAAAGTCGATGATTCAACTAGTACTATATCCCTTGAGAATAGTTGAGTGCTTCCACTGTGCTACCCTTAATAGAATGGATCAGTCCCTAAGTGAAGCGCTAGCATACCTAGGCACATATTTTTGTTCTCATTACTTCCAAGCGGAAATAGTGAGTGCCGGGGAAGCGTTCTAGGTCACCGTGCGGATGAGACATTGACCAGTGTAAGCACTGAACTTGTGGTAGTGGAACTTGCATTCTTGTTACCTCTAAGTAGAGCTCAACAAAATATTAGGGCAATGTCGTCTGATCTTAAACAATCTTTCCAAGTCTTTGGTTCATCGTGGTCATTGTCGTTTAAAGATCGGGGAAAGATTACTTGTGCTCATATTTGCAACTTTACGCAAAGCTGTATGTTCTTCCATAGTATTTCTTCTTGCACAAGGTTTATATTTGTTTATCCCATTTTTTTGGTACCAACCTGATATAGCTGGAATTACAACTGTTTAAATATTATAAATAATAAAATAATAAAAATAGAGGGGTCTTGGATTAATTTTTAAGAGAAAAAGAGCTGTGGGACTATCAGACAATAAACACTGAATTTGTTGCTTGATCAGAGCAAACAAAACTTGAGAGTGTTTTGGAAAAGGTTTTAGGGAAGTAAACTGGGAATACTATTTCAATCTTGAGGAAAGTTTTAGAAGAAAAAGAACAAAACAAAGAGAAGTGTTTGAGTTTAGAGCTAGGTTGAAGTATGCCGTACGTAGAATTCCAGATGAGAAAATTATCTTTTCCTCTTTGCTCTTGTTCTCGTTTTATATTCTGAGATCGTGTTTAACATCTCTGTTTACTCCATCTAATTCGCCATGAATGATATTTAAGTTTGTAGATTCCAGTCTACATATTATTTTACTGATTTGAATAAGTCTTTAGTTTTGGTTGGGTTGTCTAGTGGTTCTGCATTTGACTGTACACTTTTACTTTGGTAGGCCTTTCAGCTCAGCATGCAACTTCAATATTTATTTAACTTTAGATGGTTCTTTTGACTTCATTGGACCTTTTATCGTAGATTAATTAGGTCTGATTTACTGGACCAAGTTTTTATTCCTCATAATTATACTTTGAATTAAAATCGAGATTAAATCGATAATTTTTCAAAAACTTAGATACTTATTAAGTTATAATTTTTACCATGTTTCCCAACTTTGTGATATATATATATATATATATATATATATATATATATATTTAGGTTTATGTTTATGGACCACCATTTATCTTTATAAACAAAGTGAAACGTTTAACTTAAGTCTTTATCTGTAAATGTTGACAAAATTATGTTTTTTTTTAATTCAAATCATAAATTATGTGAAAATTTAGATTTGTTTATTATATCATTCATATGATTATTTAATTTTTCAATAAATATCAAATAAAAATGAAATGAAAAACACATACAAATCCAAGTTCAACTCGAAAGCCGTGTGGGAGCACATGAGGACACCAAATGCACAGTAAAACCCCTACAAAGGCATTTGGTTCCCCTCTGCTACCCCCAAAATTTGCCCTTTATTACTTGTCTAGCTACTAAAAACAAGCTATCGACAGGTGATTGCATAGAAAGGTGGAGCACAAATATTGCGACATGTGATGCATCGTAATGAACCAGTGTTGAAAACTGGGAACATCTTTTTTTTTGAATGCTCATATACCATGCATATTTGGGAAACACTTGTCGAAGGAGTCATGGATTCAGATTACTCGATGAAGTGGACTGAGGTGCTCGATCAAGTTATTTACCCAACAACTATTCAAACAACAACTTTTCTTCTGTCGTATGCTTTTTAAACAGCGATCCACACGATTTGGTGCCAGAGAAACAATAGACGCCATGGTGAGACACCAACTCCGGAGACTCTTTTGAACAAGAAGATTGCCATATGGTTTGAAATCGGCTTAGCACAATTAGACGAGGAGGAGGCTGAAGGAAGTATGAAGATGGGATGCAAACATGGTTTGTGACAAGAAGGGCTTAGCAATGATATGCTTTATATTTGTTTTAGGATTCAAAATGCTCTGTTTTTTACTTTGAAAGTTATAAAAGTAGAATTGTAAACAGTTTTTTAAATATAGTTTAACATTTTATTCAAAAAAAAAAAAATAGATGAGAAACAACTTTTTTACTAAATTTAACTGGCTACTCCAACTTTTTGGGATTTTTGCTATAATATTAAAAATTAATAAATCATGTTAATGTTTTTTTGAAGTTTTCATGAAATTATTGTAATTGTATCATTTCTAAAGGTATTTTTTTATAAATTATACGTCAACTAAATATTAATTTTCTTAATAAACATCTCAAATGATAATATAGAAATATTTGTTTTGGTTATTGCAGTCAATTTTCTTAAATAAAATCCACTCTGTAAAGTATACAGAAGACTCAAAAAGGTGCATTGCTTTGGTCAAACAAGTTTGATGACAAATTATGGACATTATAGCGATTTTTGGAACTGAGCGAATTGGATTTTGGAAAGATTTTTGGAGAAGTGTGTCATCTTCGATGTCTTGTTGAGATAATATAATTTTCTTTCAAGACAGTAAAAAGGAGTTTACGGGCTCTAAGCCTCTAACCCTCCGTCTACGCACAAGGAGTTGACAAAAAAACGTTTTCCAAAAAAGGGATAGATCGACAAAAGCAATTACGTGTAGAATTTTTTTTTTTGCTCCAATGGTAAAAGAATTACGTGTAGATTAGTTCTTAGATTTTTTTTTTCTATAAATTAGTTCTTAGATTATCATAACTATAAATAAATGCATATGGGCAAGGCTAATATTTTTTTTTTTCTTATCTTATATTTCAGGCTCTACTTCATAATCTTTTTTGACCAATTACAAAAATAGATACTTACGTAGGAATTTTTATAATTTACTATTTTCTTATTTTGTTGAATTTTGCTATGTTTTACATACTCTTATGCTCCAAAGGTTTTACAGTGGTAAAGTCTATTATTTTATGGTGTTATTAGTTTATCAACTATTAATTTGAAGAAATTATATTATGTCTTTCTATAACTGCGTTTAGGTTGCCTTTTTAGCTGTCCTGAACTCCTGATTATAAATCTAACCTTGAGAGTATAGGGATTGGTCCGATTGGAATGCTGGTAAAAGTTCCGTGGTTCATGCGTTTTGAGCATCATTCATTCATTTGATACAAATTTACCCTAAATTTAAATAAAATGGAGCATTAAATTTGGTTACAAGCCGCGGAAATTTTCCAAGTTGGATAACAATTAACAGACACAAACCACATGTGCTCCTTCAAGCTTACATCACATGCGAAGGAACAAATATCCTTTAGTCAACACACATATATCAATCATATATGGTTGACCTATAATATCTACTATATGTAGATCTACCTGCATTCATTAGAAAACTCACAATTAATTGTATGCTTTAAATTTGTGTACAAAAAATAATAATAATAATTACCATCCACTGGCTTCTAACAATGTTAACTATAGTCAGATCAGATTTTGTAACGTACATATACTTAATATGTTCATATGTGTAACATCTCTGTAATCTAAGGTAGATGTAAGAAACAAAATACTCATTTAATTAATATTTTATTTTAAAAGTTAATTTTAAGTTTAGTTTCTTATATTTCTAAAGACTCAGAAAAAACTGTGAATAATTAATTATTTTCTGCAAGATTAGTTTCTTACAAACTTTATTTCACACTTTAATAAGGAGTATTTTGATATTATTGTTACACTTAATTTTTTATTTTTTTGAAGAAAATTGTTACACTTAATTTTTCTAGATTAATTATTTTACTTGTGAACAAAATGTTTACAAAAACTGAAAATATTCACATCAGTTAATTTTATCATATAATACATTATTGTTCGAAAGAATAATCACTGTTTAAAACATCCTTAAATTTGATAATTAGTAGTTGCCCAAAAAAAAAATTTGATAATTAGTATTATATTAATATTCAGTGATAGTGCATTTATAAAAATCACGACTCAAATATTGTTTTGTTCATTTCATAGAAACTGTACCATCGTTTATGCACTAATCACATTAGTTCCGCTTGTTCATTCTGACCCTATTTATACACCGTCCGTTTTTATAGCACGATTTGAATCATAGATGTCTCGTGAGTTAGTACATCAAAAAGGTTTACGCTTGAATATAGTGTGAATGAAATACGACATTATAGCCTTATAGGAGACGCACGTAATAGTTTTTTTTAGTTAAAAGGGTTTAGGAGACGCACGTAATAGTTGTTGACTCATCTATCTTTATTTTTGTAGCAAAACAAAATAGATATTGTTCTAATTTTCAAACAAGTTACCCAAAAATTACATGAACCTTTGCTTCTCTCAACATGCAACAATATTGTTTTACTTTAAGTCGTCACGAAAATGTATTGAGTCAAAACTAAACGCTAGGGCGGCTATAAAGAACCTTTCTTTGGAAGCTCTTCTTAATTAGCCAATCTATTAACCGATTTTTCTATAACGTACACATATATCCTGATACTTTTAACTGGATAAAAATTTAGATAAAATGGTCTCATTTTGTTTTCGATTGGAGTTTATTATTGTTTCTGATTAACGTTTTTTTGCATAACGTTTGAATCAGTAATGCATTAAAAATAAAAATAAAAACAAGACCTCTCCCTAAACTTTAGCTAAAATTGGCAATATATTTGAAGGTATACGTTATGCTTCCATAACGTTAAAAGAAATTAGACAAAGTTTGGTTTTTCTTATTTCTCGATATCAACTATTTTTGTAAAACAAGGATTATTGGAGGGTACTATAGACTTTCCTAAAACACATGCATAATCTGCTGTTATAAAGACTCTTACACTCCACAGGTTTTCTTTGTCACATAGACTTATCTGTCATTTCTTCCTAAGTCTCATACAATGGAATCCAATTGTGTTCAATTTCTTCAAAACAAGACGATTCTTGTCACCGGCGCTACCGGTTTCCTTGCCAAAGGTAGGTTCTTTGATTTTCCGTTTGATTTTGGTTAATCCTCATAATTATTCCTCAAGATTCGTTAGACTGACTAATAACTTCGCTTAGTTTGGGAAACCATTTCTAAATAAGATTGGCACTTGTTTTTTTATGAAAATGTGATTAATTTCGTTGTCTCGTTTTTTAGAATAAAGATTTCTGAAGATAATATACATCTAAACACGAGATTTAGTAGAAATATCATACTATAATTAATGTGTATTAATCAGTGTTCAAGAAAGTGGTCTAGGCGACTGCCTAAGCGTTGTCCTAAACCGCTTAGATTTTACTAAAATGAGTGGTTGTATACTGGGGTGGTTGTATCCGGCGGATTGGGAGGTAATTAGGCGAGTTAGACGGATCCTAAACGGCTTAAGCAATCTAGGCTTTCTGTCCACATAGTTCCTTTCTTTTTATGTAAAAGCAAAATATTTATCTATCTGTAATCTTTTGAAATGTTATTTTTAACTTATTCAATATTATAGGTCAGAAAAAAATAGAATTCGAAGTTTTAAACAGTTTATGATATCCATAAAACGATGATTATCATAACGATATCAAAAACATTTGTATTTACTAAATACTATATGGTTTTTAATATTGCTTATTGTTTTAGTGAATCATGTTATATATGTTAACATTATGATATCTAACATTAATTTACTTTAAAAATGCTTAAACCGGCTAAGCGTTCTAGCGAAAGGTTACCGCCTGCTTATGCTTAGTGGGCAATAGTATTTATATAATAACTATTTCAGCTAGTGGGCAGTCACCTAATATATGAAATTGTTTATTTTGTCAAAATAAAATATGAAATTGTTATTTTTTGTCAAAATAAAATATGAAATTGAGTAGTAGCTCACTATTTACACCTAACCGGAATATAATTAAATATCGTTAATATTTCTTAGTTTTTGTGGAGAAAATTCTGAGAGTACAACCTAATGTGAAGAAGCTGTACCTTGTGGTGAGAGCATCCGACAATGAAGCCGCGACCAAACGCTTACGCACAGAGGTTATATTTTAACAATTCCTAACTCACTACATTATTTTTGAACCAATGTATATTTATAAACATAAAAAGAGTGGGTTAAGATCTTGTTGTTTATTAATCTGATTTGTTGCATTAATATATATATATATATAACAGGTATTTGAGAAAGATCTCTTCAAGGTGTTGAGAGAGAATCTTGGCGAAGTGAATTTGAATGCATTATTGTCCGAAAAAATTGTCCCGGTCGCAGGTGATATCTCTACCGATAATTTGGATGTAAAGGACTCCAGTCTCAGAGAACGTATGCAAAAAGAAATCGATGTTGTTGTTAATGTCGCAGCCACAACAAACTTTGACGAAAGGTACTAGCTACAAGACAATTATACAAGACAATTGTAGTCTCTTAATTGAAATCTAAATTTTGTTAATTTTCTTTTACGTATGAAAAAGATATGATGTTGGGCTTGGAATCAACACATTTGGTGCTCTCAATGTCCTTAACTTTGCCAAAAAATGTGTTAAAGCACAATTGCTTCTCCATGTCTCAACCGGTGAGTTTTTTCCTATATATTCCTCTAATTTTCTTTAGAAATCGTCTTACTATTTATATTCTATGATATGGATTTTGAAACTTATAGTATTCTATTTTTCTCTAGCTTATGTTTGCGGAGAAAAACCGGGTCTCCTACGTGAAAAACCATTCTCAATGGAAGAGATTCGTAACAAGAATGGTCTTCACTTAGATATAAAAATTGAAATGGAACTGATGAAGCAAAGATTGAAAGAACTCCATGAACAAGAGTGTTCAGAAGAGGACATTTCTCTCTCCATGAAAGAACTTGGAATGGAAAGGTACCGAGTGTTAAGTTGTTGATGATTGGACAAAAATTCTAAATATCACATTGATGAAATATATTTGGTATATGTTGATTATGATTAGGGCAAAGCTTCACGGATGGCCAAACACATATGTTTTCACCAAATCGATGGGAGAGATGCTTCTTGGTAACCACAAAGAAGACCTTCCTCTCGTCATCATCCGTCCCACGATGATCACTAGCACTATTTATGAACCATTTTCTGGTTGGATTGAAGGGCTAAGGTAGTTTTATAACCGATAAAAACTTCATAAGTGATTGAATAACTCAAGACTTATAACCAATCTATTTAGAATTTTTTTGTATCCTTACTAATTACAGTTATTCACATTATGAAATTTGAAATGTAGAACCGTAGACAGTGTGATTATTGCATACGGAAAGGGAGCGCTCAAGTGTTTTCTTGCCGATGTAAATTCAGTCTGCGATATGGTAATTTGTTGAACTAGACATGTCCATAATCATTTATCGGTCCTTGTATATTTATAGAAACATAAGATCTAGCTAGCTCTAGCTAGATTTTTTCTTTTTTTGATGCGATATGAAAAAACATGTTACAGATACCAGTGGATATGGTGGCAAACGCGATGATCACGGCTGCAGCTACGCATGCTGGAGGCTCAGGGGTTCACATGGTGTACCATGTCGGTTCGTCGCACCAGAACCCAGTGACATTTGGAGAGATTCATGAGATTGCAGTTTGTTACTTCACCAAATACCCTTTGCGTAGTCGCAATGGCTCGCTCATAGCTGTCTCAAATGTCAGGCTCATATCGACGATGAGTATGTTCAGCCTCTACATGACCCTACGTTTCAAACTACCTCTACAGGTACTAATAGCCAGTTAATTGTTTAAAAATGTATTATACTTGAATGGTAAGTACATTTTCACGTTTGGAAAACGTGATTCCGCCAAGTATATAAATAATCAGTACGAAATGGTAAAAGTTAAACATCAACAAAATTAATAATATATTTTAGTGTGTAAATTATATAAAATCAAAATAAATAAATTCAACCAAGTTTAAAATTTGAAGAATTCACTTAAGAATTGAGTAAACTAAAATTTAACCAACTGGTAATGAGATAAGAATTTTTTAATCCGTGTGTAAACTTTAAACACCATCCATTTTGAATATTGATATTGAAAGGGAGAGAGCATTAGTAAAATAAAAATAATAATATATACTGTTATCTCCAACCAGAAAAACAAGATCTAAGTATCTAACCCATTAAGCAAAACCACTGAATGAGAAAGAGGGTCCGAAGACCAAAGAAAAGTCTATTTTCGAATCCATTCCACACATTTTATATTGATAAGTAATTAATACAAAACGTTATTTATTTAATAAATAATATTTTTTGGCGTTTGTTTATTCAATTTTGAGGTTTCTCGTTCTCTTGATTATTTTGTTTTATTATTCAGCTATTCTTTCATCACAGTTAAAACCATTATATATTAAGGTTGCAACTGGAAACCAATAAGAGGAATATTCTGAATAAGATGAATGTAAATTAATGGAATAACGGCGGTTAAAGGAATAAGATAAATGGAATGAATAATTGCAGAGAAAAGAATATAACATGAATGGTAGCTATTTAGAGGAATAGAGAGTGCTAGATAAATTAATTTAAATTCAAACAGTATTCTATTATATGAATTCATAATTTATCTAAATATAATCTGAATATGAAAAAAATCGGCTATTATAAAAAAATGTAGTTGTTTTCGGATAATTGTATATAACTACAAGTTATTGAACCATAACCTATCTGACATGAATTTTTTTTAACATTTTGACAACTGAAAATAATTGAGAGAAAAAAAAAATGTAAGTAGTTACAAACATATTACGAACAATATTTTGTTTTTAGTCAATAATTGATAACGAAAATGTGCTTTCCACGTCTTATCTACATTACGTACTGAATGTAATGAGATGTTCTTACAGAGATATTTTTTTTTTCTTCCCATTTGTTCAGACAAATTTTGCTGAATCTTTTCTGAATTTTTTTCATAGTAACTTGTGAAATTTTCAGTGAATTAAATGGAATGACCCAGTCAACCTATTTTTATCCCATATTTTGTACATCCAGTTGCAGCCTAAACAAGTACATATTGATCGATTTTCAAAATCTATCCAATTTTTTGAGTAAAATTAGTAAATTACTATCAACCAAAAATGTATATATGTGCTCATTTGGTATTTTTGTTTTTGTTTAGTGTTTTTATGTACTGTTAATTCGGTATTTTTGTTCTATCAGTTATTAAAATTGATTGATATCATATATCCTTGGAGGAACGGAGATAAATACGGAGACAAGAACCGCAAAATCAATTTGGTGATGAGATTGGTAGAGCTTTACGAGCCTTACGTACTCTTCAAAGGCATGTACGTATTAACTTCAGATTCAAAGTTTTTTGTTATGACATTTAATTAACTATAAAATATGTATGAAAGTATTATTTTTTATACTTACGTAATAGTAATAATTCTTTTTCTTAGATTTGACGACAAAAATACTAAGAGCTTATGTGCCAATCAAAAGGAAGAGGAGAGCAAAAATTCTGAAGGATCGATGTTTGATTTCGACCCAAAAGTCATTAATTGGGGAGATTATCTCACAAATATACATATCCCTGGCCTCATCACACACGTGCTTAAGAAATAAACCGCATACACACACAAACATTTTATCGAATTTACATGTATTATCAATAAGACACCTCATGATGGAAAAGTATATTATATGTATATGGCAAACATTAATTCTTCTAAAATAAAGTAAATGTTATATTTTTCTAGTTGAATGTGCTATTTATTTGATAATAGTAGTCTCTTAGTTCCGATAAGTATGATATATATATATATTTAATAATACTAGTCTCTTATTTTTTTTTATTTGTTCTAAAAAAGTAGTTTAAGCAGTTTTTCAAATATCTTTTTGGCGTTCAAAGTTCATTTACAAGCAGAATTTAGTTTTTTTTTAATACAATAGAGAGGTTGTTGGACTTTTCAAAGCCACGTCCAATTCTCTATTAATATGATATTGTTCGTTTAGGGTTTAAGTGGTAAAGCCCGCACATATTTGTTTTGGGGTTCCTTCCCAAAAGGTTTCATACTAATCTGTTCGACAACTTGCTTATATACTAGATACTCTTAGTCTAATCTTCCGATGTGGGACTTGGATTGATATCCCAACAATCCCTCTCTCAAACCAAGAACTACACAAACTTGTGGTCTCCCCCAAGTTTCACCCATCTTATATCGCATAACTTAATCTTTCGCGTACCGTTAGGAATATTTTCGACACAAGGCACCGGTACACCACTCACAAAGTCACCTTGTAGACTTTCCTCCCACACCGAACCCACAGCCCACACCCACTTGTCTAGGTCCACTTTTTTAAGAACCTCGCTCTGATACTAATTGTTGGACTTTTCAAGCCCATGTCCAACTCCCTATTAATATGATATTGTCCGCTTTGGGCCTAAGTGGCAAAACCCGCACGGATTTGTTTTTGGGTTCCTTCCCAAAAAGTCTCATACTAATCTGTTCGACATCTTGCTTATATAGTAGACACTCTTGGTCTAATCTTCCGATGTGGGATTTGGATTGATATCCCAATAGAGGCATCATTCAAAATGCTTAGAAAACCAATCGACTAGTTTGAATGGCCGATATAACGTGTTGATATGCGATATCACAAAGGGGCAAAACAGTAATTCAGATCAAAAATTCGGATTTTATTAGATCGAAAAAAATACAACTAAATTTGTTTATAGAAGTGATAAACGAACTAAGACTTAGGAAACTAAGAAGCTAGCAAATATCTTGAGTTCTCGGTCTTTAAGTCTCTTGAGATTTTTTTGTGTCTTATGGTGTCGATTCTTCTCCCTTTATATATGTGTTTTAAGTCGGTCTTCGCGCGACATCTCCTCGATATGAAACCGAGAAGACTTTCCTTTTCTCTCGGAAGTTTCCTTTTTCTATTCGAAAACTTTCCTTTTTCACCCAAACTCAGGATCCTTCTCGATTCTTTTGAGAAGTTCCGACCGAATTCGGCTTATTGGGCCATGTTCGGACCAGTAGCTCGCCTGGCCCAATTTCCCCGGTACAATTCTTTCGTAAACCGGGTTTAATTCGTGCCGATCTTGGTTTGTACCGGAGAAAACCGGGGGTGCGGTTTTCACCTCCAACATTACGTTTTATGTGTAAACATTTTTTAATGGAATCAAACAATGAGGCAAGACAAAGAAGAACACACTGATTTATGAGTTCAGATATTTCAGTGTAAGAAAATTGTATGTTTCAGCAAAATATCTCCAGGAAGAACACAAATGATTTACGAGTTCGAACCGTTGACTAGACCATCCTATCGCGAGGAGATGATTTCACTATCGAGATATAACCAGGGATGGCCCTGTTTTGAAGGCTGCGTATCGGTTAACACTAGCAGAAATGGCTGAATTGAAGAATCAGTTGGAAGACATTATGGACAAGGGTTTTATCCGACCAAGTAATTCGCCATGGGGAACACCAGTGTTGTTCATGATGAAAAAGAATAGGAGTTTTCGTCTTTGCATAGATTACCGAAGGCTGAATAAGGTGACGATTAAGAACAAGTATCTGTTGCCATGAATCGAAGAGTTGTTGGACCAGCTGCAAGGAACTTCATGGTTATCAAAATGATTTAGCATCAGGTTATCATCAGATTCAGATAGCTAAGGAGGATATTAAGAAAACGGCATTCCAAATCCGTTGTTGACTTTTTGACTGATGTCGTTTGGATTGACGAATGCGCCGGCTGCATTATGAAATTTATGAACAATCTTTTTTGAGTATATTTGATAAGTGTTATGATTATTTTCATCAACGATATTTTCGCTTACTCGAGGACGAAGAGAGAGCATGCTTGACATTTGCAATTAGTGCTTCAGGAGCTAAGGAAGCATCAACTTTTCGCTAAGTTGAGAAAGTGCAGCTTTTGGCAGTGGAAGATAAGATTTCTCGGTCATGTTATCTCAGAAGGAGTAGCAGTGGATCCAGAAATGATTGTTGCACTGACAGAATGGCTTGTTCCTAAAAATGTTACAGAGGTCTGTAGCTTTTTGGGATTAGCCGGATATTACCGCAGGTTTGTGCCAGAATTTGCAAGGTTGACGAAGCCGTTGTCGATTTTTGCTAGAAAATATGAGAAGTTTGAATGTACAGAGGCTCAGAATAAGACTTTTGAGGAGTTGAAGAAGCATCTAACTGAAACTCCAATGTTGGTACTTCCAAAGACAAGAATACCATACGAGGTCTACACCGATTCCTGCAAAACGGGCATACGTAGTGTGCTTACGCAGGAAGGGAAAGTCATAGCATATGCCTCGAGACAGTTGCGAAAGCACGAATTGAACTATCCCACTCATGATTTGGAGTTAGCACCAGTTGTATTCGCTTTGAAAATCTGGTGTGCTTATTTTTACGGGGGAATGTGCAAATATACATGGATTACCAGAGTTTAAAACATGTTTCATCCAGAGAGATTTGAATCTGGGGTAGCGAAGATGGATGCAGTTGTTAGCGAATTATGATTTAGATATTGCTTATCGCCCTGGAAAATTTAACCAAGTGACAGATGCTCTAAACCATCACAGAGGAGATGTCGCTAAGGAAAAGGAAATGGAGAATCTAACTGCGGCCTTAGCAAGTCTTCAGTTGTGTTTGACTGAAGTGGAAGAAAATTTTATGGGTCTAGAAGCATTGGAAAATGCGGATTTACTGTGAAAAATTTGCCAGGAGCAGAAGAAGGATGATGCTTTAAAGGAAATGGTTGAGAAGCAAGTGGTTGGGTACCACATGGCATATAATAGAGCTTATATGTACAAGAATCGAGTTTGTGTCCTTAACGATGAGGAGTTGAGGAAAGAAGTGTTCAGCTAGGCTCATAACTCAAAATTTTCTATTCATCCCGGATGTACCAAGATGTATCGAGACCTGAAGAGACATTATCATTGGGGAGGAAGTAAGAGGGATATAGAGAAATGGATCTCTCAGTGCGCAACATACAAGCAGGTAAAGGTAGAACGCATGGTTCCCAGTGAATTACTTCAGAGCTTGCCATTACCAGAATGGAAATGGGACATGGTAACTATGGACTTTATCACGGGCTTACCAATGACATTGGATAAGAAAAACGCAATTTGGGTGATTTTGAACCGTCTCACTAAGTCTGCTCATTTTGTGTCTATACAGAAAACTAATGGAGCAAAAATTTTGGCGCAAAAATATTTGGGTGTGATTGTGAGGCTGCATGGAGTTCCGGTCAGTATTGTGTCTGATAAAGATGCAAAATTCACAGCTGTGTTTTAGAAAGCGTTTCAGAAAGCTTTAGGGACAAAAGTACATTTGAGTACGGGCTATCATTCCCAAACTGATGGTCAATTGGAAAGAACGATTTGGACCTTGGAAAACTTGTTGAGATCTTGTGTTCTTGACTGCGAAGGAAATTGGGAAAAGTATCTTCCATTGGTGGAGTTTTCCTACAATAACAAATTTCATTCCAGCATCAAAATGGCTCCGTACAAAGCATTTTATAGAAGACCGTGCTGTACCCCCCTCTACTGGACCAGTGTAGGAGAAATGAAGGTTTTGGATTCTTGGTAAAGAATGCCGCTGAGCAAGTGGAGTTGCTTAAGTCAAGGTTGAAAGAGGCTCATGAGCGTCAGAAGAGTTATGCAGATATTGCGCCGGAAAGAATTGTCATTTGAAGTAGGAGATGAAGTGTATCTGAAGCTGAGAGCCTTTAGAGGAAATGACAAACACCAGAAGCTGAAAAAGCTTAAGCCGAGGTATATGGGGCCATACCCTAAAGTCGAAAGAATTAGAGAAGTAGTATTTCGACTACAGTTACCTCAGGACTTGTCTGAACTTCATGATATGTTCCACATTTCGCTACTTAGGAAGGTAGTAAGAGAACAACAGTTTATTTTGCCTAATCTGCCAATCGATTTGGAAGGAAATCTGTCAGTTGTGAGTAAGCCGTCTGAGACTTTGGAATTCAAAGAGAATAAGGTTGATGGTAAGAAGACCAAGATGGTAAAAGTCAGATGGGAAAGAGATGTCATTCGCAAGAAAACATAAGAGCCGGAACAGCGGATGAGAAATGAGTACCTTGAAATCTTTTCGGATGGAATGGAAACCGATAAAGAGGGAGTGAATTCGGGGACGAATTCTTTTCAACGGGGGAAGAGTTATAACATCTCAGTCCAGCCAGAGGTCCAATTCCCAATCTCTACAGATATAAAAGGGAAAACATGAGAGAGAGAGAGAGAGATCGACGAGCAGCAGCCACCAGGAGTAGCCACTACCGCCAATCAGCCATCCTTCACTGCCCGAGCCTTCGTTGAGCCATCCCAAGTCGTCGCAGATATAGTCGAGCCACCAAGAAGCTTCATCCGAGCCAGCCAAACCACCACGAACCATCACGAGCTGCCGCCGAACCAATGAGGAGGAGTAAGCCGTGCTTTTGGGATGAGTTTTTCTTAATCATTATTTCAATTTCAATATCTTTTAAAGATTTTTTCGCAATTTGCTTTGGTTTGCTTTTACTTAAAATTATAGATTTTTTAGTTACAAAATTTTAGTTTTATTAATTAAATAAAAAATTTATTCAGAGAAAATGTAGTTAATTTATGTAATTAATGTAATAAATCGATTTGGAATCGAGGATGACATTCCGGTTTGTCTTATAGACGGGTTGAGGGTTCACAATTATCATCGCAGATTCTAGTTAACATAACATCTGCCTAGACCGGTTTGGACTTTTGATATATGTATACAAATTAGATAGATGGAAAAAATCAAAAAACAAAACCAAAAAGAGTATATTTTGAAGACACGAGTATTACCGGTTCATGATTGAACGAGTTAAACCGGTGAGTGAGGGTAAAACCGGAAACGAAGATAACGAACGGCCACGATGTGACGATGGAACTACCAGAAACCCTAAGTATATATACGTATATATAAGTCATCTTCTTCCTCCATTGTCGCTTCTCCAAACACTCATAAGCCATATCTGCTTGTAGCTTCCTGCTTCTCAGATCTTCTCGGTACTCTTCTCTCAATGTCTCTAGATTTCACTCTTACAGCAGATTCCGTTTCTGTTAATTTGATATAAACATTTTATTTTGTATCAAATCAGGAAAAATGAAGGTTGTCGCTGCTTTCCTCCTCGCCGTTCTTGGCGGAAACGCTAATCCTTCTGCTGATAACATCAAAGATATTATCGGAGCTGGTAAACTTTTTTGTTTCTTCTCTTTTGTAAAGTTTGAAACTTTTTTTCCGGGAAATTCGAATTAGATGCGATTAGTCGCAATACGCTCTTCGATTTTATCATGCATTTGCTTTACTTTTGGTGTTAGATAGTTTAGTTTGATTCCTGATGTAGAGGTTAAGATTTTCATCTAGTGCTTATCAAAGTTTTAAGCTTTGTGGTCTTTGGAAATGTCAGATCATAGTTAGAACAAAAGTTTTGTTCTGTCCCAGAATTTACTTGTTTTAGTTACGTTCCAGTCTTGTTGCTGCATAGATGATTTAAGAAACTGGTATTGCAGTGAACAGTGACTTCATCATTGCAATTATGATTTAGATGATTTCTGCATAGAGTTTAGATGATTTGTATCTGCTTAGATAGATGATTTAAGCTTCATCAATGCAATAAGGTTTTGGTTTTATTCTGCATTTGCTTTTATATTAGTTGTAAGAGTTACATTCTGTATTAGAATGTACTTGTTCTGTATCGTAATTTACTTGTTTCTTGTTTATTCATATGTAAATGTTACGGATTTGGTCTTGTAGCGAAATATGAACTGTATGTTTGTTTGTTTAGTTGGTGCTGATGTTGATGGAGAGAGCATTGACCTTCTTCTGAAAGAAGTGAGTGGTAAAGACATCACCGAGCTGATTGCAACCGGTAGGGAGAAGTTGGCTTCTGTGCCATCAGGTGGTGGTGTGGCTGTTGCAGCTTCTTCTCCATCAAGCGGTGCTGCCTCTGCTCCTGCAGCTGCAGAGAAGAAAGAAGCCAAGAAGGAAGAGAAAGACGAGTCCGATGATGTAAGCATTTTTTTCTCTCTTCGGTTTCCTTTATATTGGCTCGCGATACTTGGTCTATATATCTCTAACTCTGCTGCATTCAACTTTGGATGCAGGACATGGGATTCAGTCTCTTCGAGTAGGACTTTGGCTGCGGAATGCAGTTAGTGGAACTTTTTTTGCTCTCTTTTTTGTCCTCTCTTGTAGTTCGTTGTTATCAAAGATTGATTACAATTTTTAGTTAGATATGAAACGAGAAGAGTTTTTTCCTTATCTTGTTGGTTTTTCATCTTTATCCTTTTCGAATGGTTTAAACTCTGCGTCACCTGTATGATGATGATCAGTAAATGAGTGTGGTATAATCCTGCAAATTACAAAACTCATGCAAAAATTAAGACTCTTCACACTCATTACTAATTGGATTAGGCTGCACGAATAACAAAATTGAGTTTGAGATATTGTATTAAACATCTGATTTTTCCATAAAAAGATGTAACTAAAGTCTTCACTGATTATGAATTATGATCAAGATTGTAAATACTTGATGACGATTAAAATAAAAAGAAGCTCGAGTTTGAAGTAAAACTAGAAGCTGAAGTCTTCTATCACTAAGTACTTCCACAAAGTTGTTTAGCAAAAACTAAAAAGAATGTTAAATAGCATTAAGAAGATGATGCCACTAACTCATCTACTCAGGGCAGAAACACATTCGACAGTTACGATCCATCTCAGATAAACTTCCAAATCCATATTTCGTCGCGAATTTCACAGCTCAGATTGTATATGCGTAACCTTCTTTGACACAAGAGCAAAAGATGCTAAGATTTAGGAACAGTGACATTAAGTATCTTAACATCTTGGTAAGGCCTGTCGTTCTTGTCTGTCTTCACTTTCTCTATACCCTGTTCATTTTGGTTTATATAGTTAAGACACAAAAGTCACACTAAGCCAGTAAGCAAAACACATTCGTTTTTTCGTTTTTGTTTTTATCGTACCTGTACGACGTCCATTCCCTTGACGACTCTTCCAAAAACTGTATGCTTATTGTCTAGCCACGGTGTCGCCACCGTCGTGATAAAGAATTGTGACCCATTTGTGTTTTGACCAGCATTTGCCATTGAAACTGTGAACGGCCTATCATGCCGTAGACTGCACGCCAGGAAGAAGAAGAAGAACAACATATTACAAACTAATTTTAATCGTTTGAAAGGACGGCTAAACTCAAAGCAGCAAGAAATGATATTACCTTTTATGAAACTCGTCCTCGAATTCTCTGCCCCAAATTGACTGTCCTCCGGTACCATCCCCAAGAGGATCTCCAGTCTGTATCATGAATCCCTTGATAACACGGTGGAAAAGGTGGTTATCGTAATAGCCGTTTCTACAGTGTGTTGTGAAGTTTTCCACGGTTTTGGGACATTCTTCTGGGTAAAGCTTTATGTGCATGTCACCCATCGTAGTATGCATGATCTGGATATAGTTAAAAAAAACAAAAGGACTTAAGAGAACTATTGTGTTAAAAACCCAAATTTCAGACTTTTGTAATGATTAGTAAAATAGTTGCAAACATGGTGGGTAATGAAGAACATACCACGTTCTCTGGAAGAGATGTTGTAGCTGAGTTTCCAATATCTGAGGCAGCCATAAGTTCATCAGGAGCAGGCTTCTCGTTAAACACATCCCTCCCTTGGCTTGCATCTTCAGGTTCTTCAGGCTCTCTCCGACTATAGAACCAATTGGTTAAGAGTAAAATCCATAAGCAATTCGACAAAATCGAGGTAAGAAGTAAACATTTCAGAGACAGGAGAAGAATCTCTAAGGATAACTAGAGAAAACATAAGAAGAAATCATTCTACACAGTATAATAAAAAAGATATCGCAACATAAACATGAGTAGTTTTAGCACGATATGAGTCAATTACCTGTACATATAGATCCTGTGTTTCTTGAAAGCGCAGCATAAGATAGTTGGATCAGTTAAAGGCTCTTTGCTTTCATTTACATTTGCTGCGGCTGCTGGAATCTTTCTAACTTTCTTGCCTCCTTGATCACCTTGATATAATGCAACTCTCAGAAACCTCTCATTGCTCTCCACCTTTCCAAGGATCCTTGCAACTGTGTTGGTGTGTAAATTTATTATCTAGGCAACAAAATAGATAGGAAAATCAGTCAGTTGCCGATAAAATCTCAATCTCGTCTCCCTTTCCCTCTGCATGCACTATACCGCAAAGACCCTAACCACTTTAACATTTTGAAACAATAAAGTAACCACATTAATCTTGGTAACTTATGCTCGTTAATTGTATCATGTTCATGTGAGACAGTATACTTATCATGTCTAGACTGATATGCTAGTCTAAGGTAATTTAAAACAAAACAATAAGTGGAAGTCTTACTTTTATTCCAAGAAGTGTGGCATATATAAGGAAATTAGAGCTTTCATCGAAAACGGCATTGGGCTGTGGAGCGCTCTCGGTTTTTTCAAATTCCTTCTCAACTGCCATTCTTCGACCAAAATCAATTGCTTCAAGCCTGTACAATGGAGCATCGCTCCTCTGCAGATCTTGGGCCACCTAATAATTTCAGTTGAATAGATGATTAATCGAGAGTAAGGTGAAAACAACATGTAAGAAAAGGAGAATTAATATGTAACCTTACCTCAAGTGACTCGTCATAAACCCGCCTCAGTTTTCCAGTTCTAAACCAGAACACTCGAATTCTACGATCAGGAGATGTAACAGAAAATTGTCTACCATCCGGACTCACCTGAAAAGAATTTCACAAAATTTAGAGACCTAAACTTGTACTATGATTTTAGCCGGATATATCAATTGCTAAAACCTGCATTTTAAGCACGTAAGGAAAATAGCCAAAACAAAGATACTAAATGCCACATAAGTACCTCAATGGCAGAGATGGCTGTTTTGCACTTTATAATCTCATATAGATTTGTATCACTCTTCAGCTTAAAGTTTACCCTACAACACCAAGCAAAAGGTCAACTCGTAAAGCATAAATGGAAGCAGTCCAACCAAACTCAGACTCTGACGACGGTCAAATCAAAACACATTGAATAAACTTAGGCAACAAAAGTGTTCTACTACAGCCTCTTCACGTCATTCTCATCAATATGAACTCTAACTACATTACCACATACAGAAAATGGGTATGCTCCTCTTTTTGGGAAAGGCCCAAATATTTATCAGGTTACAATCTAGCTGTTAGGAATATGTTAAATAAGTTGTTATCCTTCAATTTATAACAAACAACAATACCGAAATAGAAAGACTGAAAAGATTTTGGATAAGAAATGAGACAAGGACATACTCATCCTCAGGAAATTGCAGCGTAGTTGGACTCCAGTACTCAATGATTCCTTTGGTGTCACCAGAGATCATTGTGTCAGAAACAGGATTGTACTTCATGACCTTAATTGGACTTGAATGTATCTGGACATAATATAACGACAAAGTTATAAGAAAAAGATAAACGGTTTAGCTCTGGCAAAAATGAGGAGTCAAGAAATAGCAACAAAAGATAAACAGTTTAAAACAAACCTCTTTTGAAGCAATTGGCTCGTTGGAACCAGAACGGGGATCATAAATGTGCACAAACGATGAGTTTCGATCACTAACAGCAAGTTTAGCTTTGACATCCCCTTGTTTGAAAACCCATTCAACAGCACCAGGAATATATGGTAAACGGATCATGGCCATCATGTCGTAGTTGACAACATCATATATTTTAACAGCATGATCATTTGAGATTGTACAGCAAAGCAATCCGTCAATGCTAACCTGCATTGCTGAAACGAGTCATGGTTGATAACAGAACAAGAAGCAAACATATAAACTGTGGACACTTAACAAGTCTAACTATAATTTCCGCAAATCAACTATTTTCATGACCAGAAGGAAAGCTTATCATACAAAAATTAAGCATACACAAGATCTTAAACCGAGAAAATAGAGTTAACATTGAAAAATCACTGGCGGTACTCACCGCTAGACCTTCAATTGGACCGAGATGGGAGCGGAAATGCTTAGCAAACTCGATCCCAACACCTTTTTTCTTCCAAAATTTCAAGTGACCTAGATTATGAAAAGATATATTTGTTAATAGATACGTAGTTTTTTACAGGGATCCGGTAGTGTCTGAGACCAAAGAGACCATAACTTTATGCTTTGACATTACAAGACCAGAATGAACTAAGAAATATGAAAAACAATATCACAAGCATCTGAAACATTACCATCCATGCTTCCACTTATGAAGAAATCAGCTGCTGAAACAGCAACATGCGTAACTACATCCCGATGCATATAACTTTTCTCATACCTGAAAATATTCAAGAGTTTACTAAGCTGCAAAGCACTTTTTTCATAGATGACAAGCTTACAAATCACATGGATTCCCGAAAACTCAGAACCCATAAGCTCATGTTGAAGAAACAATCTCAACAACAAAAGCACAAGAATTTGTCTAAAAATTCTTCAAGTGGGAAGATCAATTCACCAATGACGAGCTTACACAAATCCCAACCAACAAGCTTAATGTGTACTCAACTACAAGCTTAATTTCATTCGGTTATCGAGAAACAATTTCTTCGAAGATTTCTCAAAAACTAAATCGAGAGCAACTAAAACCCTAAACCCAAACCTTGACTCAATAAGGATGATGACGACGAGCAAAGAAAAGTTCCAAAACACAAGACATGCTTACATATTAGCAGAAGGAAGCGAATCAAGGTAAGCTTGTTCGAACTGAAGCGGACGCTTGCGTTTGCCGCGTGGAGCGGGACCAATCATCGTCTCTTCCTCGTCTACTTCAGGCGCTACCGCCGTCGCCGCAGCCACCGCCAATTCTTTAGCCGGAATCACGTTTCCATTCTGAGATTCTTCCTCCATTGATTCTCTGCTCTCTTCCTCAGCTCAAACACTCCGGATTTCGTGAAAACTTCGATTTGGAAGCACGGTTTGCTACGACTTCGACTTCCTTGGGAAGAGACGAACTGACGGAGTGTGAAGAGAGTATATATTGGGCCTGACTTAAGCCCGATTAGATATTTTAATGAGTGTAGCCCATTAGAAACTGCATGTGTGTGTGTGTGGTGTGCTACTCTATTTGTTTCACTATTACAAGTCAAAAATGAGGCAATAAAGCTTTGGAGATCTTTGCCGGTAAGGTTAAAAGATCGTGCCATGTTTGGGAGACTATGAAGTTGTATACTATCTTTTCGAACCGGACTCACGATAGCCAAAGTTTCTGATGCAAACAACAACCCATCACGTCGCTTTC